CAATATCCCTTTACCAACCAACACCTCCTGTTCTTCATGCTCTCTCTTATTTACTTCCACTTATGTTCATGTTTGAATTCCATTTCTGCTTTGAGAAGCTGAAAAATGTGGGCTCATACTAATCATGTCCTCCATGGTCTTATGCAAAAACTTTATCTTTAATAAACCGAAGCTGCGGCGGAGCTCCTTTTATCTGCACAGAAATTCGTCGACATTAGTTTCTCAACTGGGCGATACAAGACGGAGGTTTGCCGCCGGGTTCATCCCAAATGCCGGGAAACGAAAAAGGGAAAGGAGCTGGTGGCAGAGATTCTTTTTCGACGAGGATGGCAATTGGCTTGGTTTGAAGGAGGATGACATGCTGGTGGAGGCGGAGGATGACTTGGAGATGGACGGCTCTGATGAAGGTGAGAAATTTGAGGCGTGGAAGACGAGGGCTGAAGCAATCGTGGAGCTGAGGGAAGCACAGCAAGATATGACGAACGAGGAGAATCGCAAGTGGGAGGACTGGCTTGCGGATTCTAATTCTACTTCCTGGGAAGCTGTGCAGTCGGATCCTACTCAAGAAAAGGGCTTGCTATACTCTCTCACTGATTTCGTTCTTAGAAAGGAAGATGACGACGACGACGACGACATGCTCTATGAAGACCGTGTTTTCCGCTATGCCTCACTCAATTCGGTAAGTGCTCATGTCTGTCAACAAAATTCTTCATTTTCTTTGCTTCACTTCACAACTGTGGGTTTTTATTTTTATTTCCTTTCATTTCCTTTGCTCGAGTATACAAAATTCTTCAATCTATCAAAGCATCTCTTCCAATAATAACTCCTCCTGTTAAGTCAATTTAAATAATTAAATTATGGTGGAAACCAAAAGGTAATAAATATTTTCCATTGATTGTATTCAAAGGAAACAATCTAGTTGAAGAAATGTAGTTCTTTCCTAATAATCACTAGGATAATGGATAGAGCATATCTAAAAGATAAGATTGCTCTGTACAATAACAATTACAATTAGGGCTGAGTCCAAAACTGTAATCACTAGTATAGTGATCACAATAATACGCAATTGTGATTCTCTTTCTTTTTGCATTTGCTTTTGTGATATAGGAACCCGTGTTTGTGCACTATGAACATGAGACATTCCACCTTTAATATAGGAGCTATCAAATCAAAGCATGCAATATTGAAATTTATATTGCATTGGTGTTTCTGTTTTTAACCTTACTACAACATGCAACAAAACTACATTACATGGTTTGAGTGTAATTTTCTCTCAGCCAGCCTGCGTCTGTCCTTTAGATATTGATATTTTTCTGTCTCATATTTGGATCTTCTCCTTTTTGTTAAGGGACTAATTTCGTAAGTCAAATTCATCCATTTTACAGGCTAAATTTTTGGCGGTGTTAATAATTATACCCTGGGCCTTGGATTTTGTGGTTCACGACTATCTTCTGATGCCTTTTTTAGACAGGTAACCGTTATCTCTTTTTCTTATCAGATATAGAAAGACATACACACACATTTCAAAAAGAGGATGGGACTTAAGGCATATGCATCATGAAAAAAAAAATTGCTTTGAGAGGAAAGAGACCTCAGGCACTGAGTTGATACCCTCTGAATCCTAAAGATTTAACTGACAAAGTGTTGCCTTGTTGTAACTATTGTCCAGCAACGGCTTGCTGAATTTCTCAGTGACATGTCTAATCACCAATATTCAATTAAATCTCCCCTCCATAGATATTAACTTGGGTAGCTTAAGGAAAAACTTCGGCAAGTTTCCAGGGGATGCCACCTTAATGTGCTAACCTCTGTTAATGCAAGAAAAGAAGACTGCATTAAAAGTATGTGTTGAAATTAGTGGTGCTATATATATTTTTTCTTTTAAAGAAAGCCATGTATGCAATTATGTGGTGGAGAATATACAATTCCACATTGGGAATTCTGATCCTTGTATCCATCCATGGCCATGTGGTTAGTGTTAGATGCTCTAATTCTAACACTTATATAGGATGCATATGGAAGAGAACTTATAATCTTTAGTCAAGGAATCTGGTTTAGTTTTATATCAAAAGATTCAAAACCCAACATCATCAATGCAGATCCTAGATTTAGTGTCTTATTCAACGGATCAGCCAAATGTAAGACCTACAAGCATCTAACATTAATTGATAGTATAAATCATACTTCTCTAAATCTAACCTTTCTACTCTCCTTAACTTAAAACTTTTTTGTTAGGTAGGTCATTCTTCTAAGGAAACAATTGATAACTTTGTAGGTAGGTTGGTTCTATTTTCCAAGTTTCAAATTGCAGTGGTTATGACAAAAATTACATACATAATTATGTGTCTAATACATGCATGTATAAACTAAAGGAAAAAGATTGTAAGTTCAATCTTTATGCTTTGTTGCATTGGAATTGGTATTAAATTTATTTTTAACCATTGTTTTACCTCTAAATTATGAAATAATGGGTCGAGCACCCACTTTTTGTGAACAGATATGTGAAGACTGTACCACTTGCTGCAGAAATGCTTGACGTCAGAAGAAATCAAAAGCTTCAAATGGTTGAGGAATTAAAAATTGAGAGAGCAAGATTTCATTTTGAGATGGAAATTGGTAAATCTCCACCGCTTTCTGATGAGGAGGTTTGGTGGGAATTGAGGCATAAAGCGTAAGATCGACACTATTTTGTGCTCCTTTGGAAAACCATAACATTATTTATTTAATCTTTATCCATTTTGTTGATTAGGTTCATTAAGTCACAATCGAGATTAGTGGGTAAACTACAAGGAATTAGTAAGTTCTAGAAGAAGGCTAAAATTAGCCACACATGCCTAGATTTGGGCAGTCTAGTTTATGATTTGTGACCCTAGAACATATGACTACATAAACAATCAAACACTTAAACCTTTTAATGACATAATTACATCAATCGCGAGTTCCATTGTGTAAACCTCCATGATCTTTTACTACATTCAGGCTGCTAAAAACCTTTAAATTCTGCAAAAAGTTAGAGTGGAGATTTAAGCAATTAAGCACTCTAAGCAATCCCATGCATGAGTACGAGGATAGTGGAACCATTTTCCTCCAGAGAAACTCTACAAGCAGTCTAAGTGGGATTGACAATAAGGTACAGGGTAGAGGAGATGCATTAAATATGAAAGAAGTCTACGGAGCGTGACCAAAACTGGTACTTAGAAGTTAAAAGTGGAGGGCTGGAAAAGATATGGATATACCAATTCCCTTTTTCTAGGTAAATATGGAGATATAGAAGCCAGGGTCCCTACTAAAGATAATGGCATTTCTAGGAACCAGCAGGCTGTATAGTAATTGAATAAGAAAAATCCCTCTCTGTGATATCCTTTTCTCTGATCTAAATACAAACACAATTAAATTTAAGCTGGAGAAAAATGCTCAAAGCAATTTAAAGTGGAAAGGGAAGAACAATTGCACGGTCCCATGAAAGCTTTACAATTCTAATGATATGCCCTTAAAATTGACCTTGACATCGATGAAGGAAGGGAGATACTTCTGGAAAAGTGAGCATGGAGAGTTTGATTTTCTTTTTTAGTCTCTAAAGTAAAAGAAATAGTATAGAAGAAGAGAAGAACCCATATAATACAACAGATTCAAGAGTGTGTGCTTTGATATTATATAATAGTATTAAGTTCTAAGGAAAGGACAATTCAGCAAAATCACCCAATTTATATGTGTTGTTTCATACATATTCCACTGCCTTGATTTTGGTATCTCATTTAAGGTTTTCTTGCATTTGATTCTTTGGTCTAAATCTATACCTGAACTCTTTTCTCATTCCACACTTATACATTTGGATATGCATAACAAAATTATTTAGGAAATTGATCTCTGAAATGACAACTATGGAACATTTCTTCTTTAAAACGTCCAGTATTCACATTTATCAGTGGTGACTTCAAATTCACCTATGCGTCAAACATATGTGATTATTATTTATATTGATAATTACAGTTTAATGTCATTAGAAATGTTGAACTTTAGTCTATTATATTGCATGGATAATTTTGGAAAACGCCCTTATGTTTTAATGTTCTTAAGCTAGATTTTTTGGACTATAATTTCAATGAAAAATGTTGTCCAATTACTTTCCTTATGGTTTCAACAGATTAGAGCTAAGAGATGAATGGAGATTAGAGAATCGTAAAGCATTTGCCAACATATGGTCAGATATGATATTCGGGGTCTCATTATTCATTCTTTTATACTGCAATCAGAGTAAAGTGAGTTATCATCTATTTCCTTAGTATACCTTCATGTATGATTTTTTTTTTTTTGGTTACCTATGATAGTAAAAAACATTGCTTAAAATGAATGTCTTCGGAACGCTTTACAGTTAACAACCATTGTCATCATCCGTCAGACAAAAATAGTTAGTATGAGCAGCAATTGCATTATTAGCTATGATTGTCATTGTCAATACTATATTTTTTTACTTTGCCCTTTCCAATTTGTCATATGTGTGGTTAAGGGTGATAAATATGCACCCTTATTGTTTGCTGAATACTTGTCGACAAAATTATGCAATTATGACACCTTTTGTCTGCTCAGAATTTTCACAGCAGTCAATATCAAAGTAAAGATTGACTATATATATATATAGGTGAAGACTATAAAACATTTGACATCTAGATGGTGAGATAAGAAACAGTACACATCAGATCTAAGTAGTTGAATTCAAGCTGATGTGTATTGTTTTTTATGTCACACAAAAATAGTAGTATGACAATGAAATTATAGTTTAACCCCGTGAAATACCAATTAAGATTCACTATGTAGCTAGTTTCTCAAGAAACATAGCAATCTTGGATTCATATAGAATATTTTTGTTTCTGCTTTAAAAATTTTGTATGAAGATTAGCTTTAGCTTTAAAATTCTGCACTCAACTCTTGTTAAATTGATTGTATTTTATTTTCTTTAATTCTTCCCTTGCTTTTGCAGGTAGCTTTGCTGAAATTTACAGGTTATAAGATAATAAATAATATTTCAGATACCGGGAAGGCATTTCTTATTATACTTATCACAGATATTTTTTTAGGGTAATACTATCTGCGCTTTACTACTGTGGTTTTTCCAGTTTACCATGCAGAGTTTATGAAAATTGACTTACTGTGAAATCTATAAAGTAAAGGCACATGTGAAATGATTTGATGCTAATATAGACACACGCACAATTTTTCTCTGGCCAGATATCCTAGCATGTTATGTTTGCTAGGCTGTCAATATGGACTACAGATTAGGTGGGCTTTTGTTAAATTGTGTAGTCCAGATTCAGTCTGGCAACATGACTTTTCCAGTTATATGGTAAGAGAATATTACTGCGTATATATACACACACATGATATATGGATAGTGCCTTTCTCAGTGCAGCACATCGAGTTTTTAGGTAAAGACTGGACATGTATTGGAGCCCTTGAATTGATCTTGTGGCTGACTGAGTTGCTCTTAGAGTCAAACACCAAAATTGGTTCCAGCTGTAAAGATCAAGAGAGAGAAAGGCTGAAAAGTCCCTTCCCATGCCACAGAAAATCACACGCTTGATATACAACCTTTGGACTGCATCTTTGTGGCGTGGGAAGGGATCTTTCACCCTTCCTCACTCTTGCTCTTTACAGCCGGAACCCATTTTGGTGTTTGACTTTGAGAGCAACTTTGCCCAGCCACGGGATCAATCCCAGGGCTACAAATCCGGTCTTTAAATAAATACCGGATGTCATGCACTAAGAAAGACACTATATAGGTCTAAGTTTCGGACTTAGATAGAAGACTTGACTATCATTTGTTAGATTAAATATGAATCGTTGAGATGCATACTGAGTAGGATGAATATGAACCATTCATATTTAATTAGTTATAATGTACTAGGTCTCAAGTTTAAGGCACTCTTCATTCAATAGATCGTCTTCATATAACGAATATGTATATATCTATATATATATACACACACACCCCTTTTTATGAGGGATCCTTTTTTATGAATAAAATTGAAAGAATATTTGCTTAAGGTTTTTCAGTTTTTTGGATTGTGAATCATGGTTACCAAAATTGATCAGAAATTGATTGAACAAACTAAACCAAAACACAAACCTACCAATAATAATGCACAACGTCTAACAATGTTGTTGGTCTAGTTGACTTAATCGCATGATCAATGCAATTGGTAGTTGGACGGGCAAATTCCCTTACAGGACGTCTTGCATTTGCAACGCTGTGTAATGAGGTTGTACCTTAGCAGGGGCAGCAGAAACCCCTGCGGCATGTTGCAGATGCACGATGTCATTTAGGGAAGCTTTGGGGATGATGGTATTTATTATTTCATATGTGTGATAGTCATCTGGTGGCATCAGTTATTTTAGTTAATTTCTTCAGTTTCATATCTGTGATCATCATCTTACTCATCTTTGAGTGACAAAAATGTGTGCATATCAATCTTTCTGATGTATAAAACTGCATACCTGCAGGTATCATTCTGAGTCTGGTTGGCAGACGTTGTTAGAAATTTTTGTTGAGCATTACGGGATTGATGTTGATCAGTCTGCCATAACCATTTTTATCTGCCTGATTCCAGTTGTCATTGATGCATGTGTGAAACTTTGGGTATGTTCTACTCTACATTATAGTGATTTCAGTTTTTAGTAAAACTCATATTTTTCATGGCTGTTCTTACCAAGACTTGCAAAACTGTTCAGACCTGCATCCCCTCTCTTTGTCTCTCCACTCAAAGATGTCTATAGGTTTACATATTATCTCCAAAAGGCTAATTATCTCTAATAAATACCAAGGCTAATTATCGCTAATTATCTATATGTTCATTTTACTTTGACTGTGCCTCACAGTTATTTACCAAAAGTACTTAAGTGAAATATATACATTGTCAGAATATAAAATAACTATTAGGCTAGCCATCTTCTAGTCTTATCCAACTCAGACTTTTGCAAAAATGCAATCTTGAGCAGGTTAGAAAAAAGACTAATTATTATGTAACGACAGATATTCTTCTTATTATTATATACTGATAAAAAGCTGCTGTATTCCACCTCAAAATTCATTAACTTTATATACTGACATTAGCATTTCTAGTACTCTCTGGGACGACAGGAATCTACTACACTAGTCTTGTTAAATTACCACATATTTGGTATTCCCTCTCTGAGCTCAGCAACTAAGTAGAGAAAGGTAGAGTCTTACTGAGATGATATGGTTCTCCAAGTTTCGTCCCAAAAAAAAAAAATGGTTCTCCGAGTCCTGCCTATCTGTCCAATAGGAACTGAGATAAGCTGAATGTGAATGCTACTTTGGTATAAAAGTATGCATGTTATTACATTATAATTGTTTCTTTTATGAACCAGTTTGAGCATTGCAAAACCTTCTACTCTAATTTGTTCAACTGCAAGATCTGAACGAACTTGTATATGTCATTTACAAGTGCAATGCTGTAAGAAAATATTAATACAAATAGAGAACCACAAATGGTGTGGTTAGAAAATTTAGGGTATTGATTCTATTTATATGGTTTCTGATGAAAACCGTTTGAAGTGATATGTGCTTTCTTTAACCTGTGAAAGGATCTATTAGAATATGTAAGAACATGCACATGATATTCAAGTTTACATGTATTGTGCTTGTAGCTTTTTTACATTATAATATTGTTGTTAATGTTTGTCTATCATTGTATTTGCGGTGCAGTTGTTTAAATTCCTACCAAGATTGTCCCCCAAGGTGGCAAACATATTCCGGGAAATGAAGCGTCACTAGTAAAATTCTTTATTTGGGTTTTCTCTGACTTCTAAGAGAATTCTGACCAAGATAGCATGTACCACCAAGATTACATTTTTTGAGTTATTATTGTTTGATTTTTTCCTCGATTTGGCGTATATAGAGGTTTATCTGGTGTTGTAAATGTTGATGATAAATATGAACAATTTCTCAAGTCTTTATTCTTCTGTGAGATTATAGGACATTGTAGTTGTTGGGATATCATTCATACCCATAAAAGATCTGTGTACGATTGAACCTAAATATATGCTTAATTTTAAGTTTGCATATGTTACTGGCATGCTAAGCAATGATCGGGCCAAACTAAATGGGAATTCAAATTTGTATTTTATTTAATGCCAAAATACAGGAAAATTACAACTTAAAATCAAGCAACAGTCTCTGTATTAATAGCTTTGATCAAATCAAATCTCAAAGTAGCCTTTGGTGTAGTGGTTGCCTTCACTTAGTTGGAGGAGATTCGAGTTCAAGTCCCATGCAAGGACGATGCATATTTGATGCAGGAGCACCTCTTTAAGACAACTAGCATGCCAAGTCAGGGGAGTCCAAAAGGACCCCTAAGCCGCCAAATCATCTCAAGGACTACTAGTGGAAATAATTTAGGAGCATATATTTATTTTTATTCTGATTGACATACCTACAACAGAGGTTAAGAAACATGCAATCATCTGGGTTTGCTAGGGTAGGAACACAATGAAATAAATAGCATTTCACCGAATGGCCAAGAACCTCTTCAAATACTACTTGTGGCAAGCTTTCCAAATTTTACTCAAACATCCTGCTGTTCTCACAACTTGAATTTATGTCAATTTTAAGCATTTTCTTGGTGGCAGATAAAAGTTTGAAGTTGAGGAGAAAAACTTAGCAGCAATACTGCCACGTCCACAAGTGATGCCTTGTACATACGCTATTGTTTACTTGTCTCTACGCCCCCTCATTCTTCTAATTCTCAATCCTCATTCTTCTAAACCCTCTCTTTTATCTTTGTTCTTCACCTCCCTCCTATTATTTTCTCTGTCCTGCATCATCTGTCTTTGCTCCTGTACTGTACTAACGCCTCCTCCTATGGATAACAGTCAAAACATCTGAATTTTGCTGACTTTCCATCTCTCTGGTAAAAAAATCACACAAAGTACACATGATGTCAAAATTCAAGTAATATAAAATAAGAAAAAAAAAATGATTTCAGGATACATTAATGCAACTTAAAATTGAGATAAATATGGGGCACAATTCTGCTTGAAGACAAGGAAACAATTGAGAGCGCATACACCAAAAATAAGAAGAGAAATACGACTATATTTAAAGGAGATGAAATGGAGTCTCTTGCTACATACCCAGGATACAGTTGGTTCCAAAATGCATTATGCAAATCATCATCCTCGTGTGCTACTGATGTACATGTCTTCTGAGCAAACATATCAACAGAGCAGCATAAAACACATGGACTGGCGATAGCCTTACCCTACAAATTAGGAATTTATTTCCTCCTGTGAAAACATTTTATTATACTACAGGCCTCTTCTACATGGGCATTCCGAACCAGTGAATCTAAAATTATATTACAAATAGAAGAATCAGGAAAACAACCATATGCTTCCATAGAGAGAAATATCTCCTTCGCCACATCAAGTTTTCCTGAATCACACAATGCCTTGATAAAAGCACTGTATGTATAATTGTCGGGATTCAAACCCAGTGTTAACATAGCAAGAAAAAGTTCCTCTGCTTTCTCAACCTTGTTCATCCTACAAAGACATTGAATAAGAGCATTGAACGAGTAAGCATCTGGTTTTATTCCATCTGCCTCCATTCTTTTCATTAGTCTCATCGATCTAGCAATATCTCCAATGAAACACAGAGCGCGTATCAATATATTGTATGTGATGGCATTTGGAGTGACCCCCCACCTAACCATCTCAGCAAAACATTCAAAAGCATCATCAATCTGGTTCACCCGACAAAGACCATCAATTATTGAACTAAAAGTGAACGTATCTGGCTTAAACCCATGTTCCAAGAGCAATGCCAATAGTTCATGTGCCTTACCTACCTCTGCAACCTTGCAATATCCATTAAGAAGTGTATTGAAAGTAACAAGGGTAGGAGGAATACCTTTGTGCTGCATATCTCCAAAAGCCTTTGATGCCCTGTCCATCATTTTGGCTTTGCAGAAGCAATCAATTACCATGTTGTATGAGAAGGCATTTGACACAAGTCCCTCTTTGATCATTTGATCAAAGATTCGATTCCCCTCATCACCTTGTCCTGCCTTGTACATAGCTTCAATCAATTGAAGATAAGTACTAAATCCTGGTTTCACCCCTCGCTGTATAAAACTTTCAAATATTTCCTGGACCTCATTCTGAGGATTAGCTAATTCCTTTATCAAACAAACCATTATGATGTTGAATGTCGAACTGTCAGGCAAATAACCTCTTGCACCTGATTCCTTCAAAAACAGAGCAATCTCTTTTGCCATATTATAATTTGAAAGGCAACACAGTATGGAATCACAAGCTACTTTAAAAAATACAGACTCCCTTTCAAAAAAAGTCAATAACAACTCAAAAGCCTTCCTAGGGGCCATGCAACGAAATACCCCATGAACCAATGATCTGATAGTAGCTTCATTAGGGGACACATTCTTCTCCTTCATTATCTCCAAAACCCTGAAGGCTTCGTCAACCCTCTTTGAATTACAAAACCCACCTATGAGGATAGTATACGTACAAACATTAGGCAAATACCCCAAGCCCTCCATTTGTTTGAGCAAGCGAAGTGCCTCATCCACAATACCAATCTTGCAAACTCCATGAATGAGGGTATTGTAAGTGAACCTATCGGGATTGCAGTTATCCGCGGGCATCTGTTGGAATTTTAGATAAGCCAAGTCAAGTGAATTGGACTTGACTAAAGCATCGATCACAGCATTGTACAATCTTGTGCTAAGACTAAGACCCAAAAAAGATATTTGCCCAAAAACCTCAGCACAATATTTTGCCAAACCCAACCTACCCCAACTGCTGATCAATATGCAAAGCAAGTCTTCACTGACCTTAAAACCTGAATTCTTAATATCTTTTAGCAATTCAACAGACAATACAACTGGGCCTTTCCAGTAAAAGGTCTTGGCTAAAACACCACGAACTGATTGATTCTTTGCGAATAACGAGTCGGTACTCGAAACCCATATGTAAAACTTCAAAGAATGTAATGGGCTTTCTTGGTTTTGCAAGACACTAGCAACAAACTGGGGATTTAAAAAAATCCTCTTGGCCTTCAACTCGTGGTCCAGCAATAAAAACCAGTCATTCCGTGAAAGAATTTGAGTGATGTATAGGTGATCAATTCGTTTATTATCAACACGAAACTTGTGATTAACAGCTGAAATGGGATTCGTTGAAATGGAAACTAAATTAGGATTTTGAGGCTCAAAGTTGGGTTTAGGAGAATTACCTTTAAGAGGAGCTCCAACGTTGTCAGAAGGTGTTTGATTCAGAACTTTTCTGGGTTTGTTTTTTGATGAGGATTCTCTATGAGCTTGCTCGGGGAGGTTTCTGAGTGCAGGTGAGGCCCTAGAAGCTAAAGAAGAAAGCCATCTCATGTCCCTCACCATGCAAGTTGCTAAAGAACTAGGGTTGAGTAAAGAGCGCAACTTTATTTATGTATTTATACATGTACCTCGGTATGTTGGTTGATATTGATAATTGGAGACTGGGGAGAATCAATGGTCCGCCAACTCTTTTTTAGCACATCACTTTTTTTTGCTTTTTTTTTTTTAAATACAAGCTAGTCTAAACTATAAACGAAGGGATTTTGGTTCCAATCGGATAGAAAAACTTGTATAAAACGGTGATAGTATTATTTTGCTATACCTGAAAAATCACAATTTGTCACGTGAAAAAGTTGTCACGCGTAACATATCGTGATTGGTTGGAAATAGAAAAATAGTGTTCTCCTAATTTCATATAAGTGTTTCTCCCCATCCCCGTTAGGGCTCGTCAATGGGCGGGCCGGACCGGGCTTTAAAGAGGAGAGAGAAAATATCGGGGCGAGCCGGGTCGGGTTTTATTAGAAAATTCACAGCCCAAGCCCGACCCATGAGCCGGCGT